TGCTTATGTTCCCTCTCTCGCTGTGTCTCTCTCTGTCAAATAAATAAATAAAATCTTTAAAAAAAAAAAAATAAAATTTACCTATGAGGGAAGGAACGATTGGGGTGGATAGCACCAGAGTAGATGCTAGAAACTTCTTTGAATATTTCTTGTTTTTTAGATTTGACTTGGAATCATGTAAATATTTTAAATAATTATAAAACAAATTATTCCCTAAAAAGTAATCCCTAGGGGTGCCTGGGTGGCTCAGTTGGTTAATTGGCCAACTCTGGATTTCAGCTCAGGTCATAATCTTGGGGGCCTGGGACAGAGCCCTGCGTTGGGCTCTGCACTCAGTAAGGAGTCTGCTTGAGGATTCTTTCTCTCCCTCTCCCTCTGCCCCTTCCCCTACTCAAGTGTATGCTCTCTCTCACTCTCAAATAAATAAATAAATAAATAGTAATCCCTAAAAATAAAAATAAACATATATACGTATCCAGTTTAATTTGTGGCATAACCATATAGAAGAACTATTCTAAGTGACTTTAAAACAGTAATTTGTCTATTCCTAGTGGGATATATCTTAAGGACAAAACAAACTGAAAAATAATTTTCAGCAGCAATCATATTTTTGGTGGTAGTATTATTACTTTTATTTTGAAACGGTTGTGTGTAAAGTGTGGATTAAAGCAAACAATGAATTAAATTATGTTAGTGTTACCGAGAACCATTATTTTCCATGTGGGATAAGGAGAAAGATGTGAGATTGATGCGAGAAGCCCAGTAGCCTTGAATCTGACCTGGAAGGGTAAGTATGAATTCATGGTGTATATTAGGAAGAGAGAAAGAAAAAAACTATTTCTTAGCTTTGGCCACTAAAAAGACCTAAAAATAATGATCATCCAGGAGCAATGAGAAGTCCTAATACCCAGATTGCAGTCTCTAAATATTATTTCCTACTGAAGCTAATCAGACTCATAGAAGAAAGTCTAATTCCAAGCCTAGGGTAGGAAATATAAAAGATGAGCACAGAAATATCTTAGTCATACCAGAAAGCAAGGACATTATCAAAGACAAACAGAATCTTAAAAAGGAATCAGAAGTTACTTGAAAAGCCTCCTACTAGCCAAAAATGGGACAATTGAGCATCATTAAGGAAAATGTTTTAAACTTACCAAATATAATTACATCAATGATTCATAATGACATTAAGTAAACAAGCAACTAAAGAATGAAAAAGTACCTTAATTGATGGAGAATGAAAATGAGTTGGAGGAAACCAATTCTTTTTGAAAACTGAAGAATCAAGCATGTAGCCTGCCTTTCCTACATGAACTATAGCTCAGTTTAATCAAATTGTTGATGAGAGGAGGTTTCTTTTATAGAGGCAATCCAGCTAATAAATGAAGAAGGAATCAACAGTATCAATAGGACACTGTTATAGATAAACAAGTTTTTTCAATAAATTAACTGCAAGAAAATTATTAAATAGATAAATAAGCGGCAAAGAGAATCTACAGATTAAAAGAGACTTAAACATATCAATCAAATGCAGTGTATGAATTCTGTAAGGATCCCAATTAAAACAAAGCAACTAAAAAAAAAAAAGAAAGAAAGAAAAAGAAAATCTAGGAAATGTGAACACTGACTGGATATTTGCCAATATCAAGGAATTATGACATTTTTCAGATACGGTATGCTGTTAAGTTTTTTTAAGCCTTTATTTTTTAGACATACATTCTGAAATATTTATTGATGAAATGATATAAAGTCTAAGATTTGCTTTAAAATAATCCAGTTAGGTCTGGGGGTTTAGTGAAACAAGAATGGCCATGACTGTTATAGCCTGGGACACATGAGCGTTTATTGGGCTATTTTCTCTACCTTTGTATATGTTAATTCTCCAGTATAAAAAGGTTTTTAAAAATTTTAGCAACTAAAAAAAATTTTAGCATCTATGAAAAATGCTTTGTTACGTAGCTCAATATTTTCTGAGGTTACAAAATGCTCATCACACTAAACTCCTCCTGACTGGGTTCTTTTCAGATAATCCATGGCTTTCATTTGAACCTTTTGTTTAGAAATACAGAACAACATTTATACCCTCATCATCTAATAGTTGTGGATAAAATGATAAATGCCTTAGCACTAAAATTTAACTTATTCTATACTTGCAAACTAACTTTAAACCTGAAAAGGTATATTGCCTTTAATTGATTAAAGATTATAAATATTTTGATTTTATACCACTTAAGGTAAGCTTTCATTTAAAAAATCAAGTTTCACACTCAACAGAAACACAAACAGCTCCTTTACCACAGTTGGCAGTCGGTAAGGAAACTAAGCATGATTAGGTGTATTGAATTTCAAACTTGAACATGCATCTTTTGTGCCTTTTCCACAAATTCTTTGTTATAATCCGGAGATTAGCAATAACAGAAGAATATTCTTTACCTCCTTCTTACTTTAAGACTATCCACAACACAGCCTGGGGTTTTTACAAAGATGTTCACCAATAAGATGAAAGATCTAAATATGAAGGCCAAAAGAGTGGTCTTACCTGTTGCCTATATAGTGAGAGTTTGCCTTCAACTGGCTCATTTCTCATCATTTTCTTTTCAATCAGCTGATTGATCTGTGTGTTTATTTCATTTATCTAAAACAGTATGAAAGTAAAGAAGGTTAAAACTCTTCCTATGATTATACAAACTAAGTGACATCTGGCCAAACCAAGCTCTGAATTTACTGTTCTTATCATCAGTGATTTCATGGGAGGAACAGGTTCATTAATGTTATAAGTGGGCTGTTACGGTTATTTTTAGAAACAATTTACATTTCATAGTTCATGATATATATTTACATATTTTGATGACTTATATAACCATCTATGTTTAAATTATACTAAAGTATTCTCTGTGAAATATTTGTACATTATTATCAGAAAGACAATTTCTACAAATCTGAAGTTACCCCTCACCTAGCTTGTGACTTTCAAGTCACTGCAAGTGATAAAGCAAATCCAGACTAACACTCTCCAGGGATTTAGTTCAAGGAATTCATGAACCCAACTGAGAGCTGACATGGATGACATCTAAAAACCCTTCCTGTTCTAATGATCTGTGATTTGATGATAGCTGCCATTTATCCTACCATTAATCCTTTACCAAATATAATAAAATAAAAGTGAATAAAGCCAATAGAAGCATACAGTCCCTCAAGTAATAAACAAAAATTACATGGCTTTCAGTATATCTATCCTTTGAAAAGACTAGAGTTCTCCTGTTAATTGTATGACATTAAATTTGAGCCAAATCTCACTTGGACATGTAATTTCTATAAGTAAATTAAAAGAATAAAGTGGTCAGGATTATGTACTTAATTATAGTGGCTATTAAGCACAAATTAAGCACATTAAAGGATTAGCAAATCAAAATCTCAATCATCATAATATTTAATTGTTATTTTTTAAGAATACACATCTGATTCGTGCTTTATTTCTATGGTATAAAAATTTTATAACATAAAACCAGGTTTCAATAAGCATTACAAGAAAGTTTAGTAATTCCAAAGCAGGCATAAAAGGCTAATACAAATATTTTAGTTTTAAATATAAAATTGCTATAATATTATTTTTGGAAATAAAAATTAATGATACATAAAATATTTTAAAATTTACCATCTAAATGATTATATTACGAATACATAAACCTATGAGTCAATCATATGCATTAATTTACATATTCAAGCTACTTAGTTTCCTAATCAGTTGACTAAGTCTTTATAACATCATGTGGATTAAGTAACAGCATTACATGCTACAATTTCTCACAAAGAACCCCTCATAAAAGCTGTCAACTCAGCACAGGTTAACTTAAGAGTCAAGGGCAGGACACTATAGAAAGCAGTTCACATAATTTTCACAGGACTGGGGATGAGATAAAATTGGGAGCTATAAAAAGAAGATGATTGTCACTTACTTTAGATTCAAGCTCAAGAAGATCAGAATGGCCCATGGCAGGCTCTGAAACCACTTGTTGTAAAAAATGCAGTTCTTTTTTCTTGCTCTCTAATTCTTTAGGAAATTTTTCAGTTACCATATAAGAATTAAATTTTAACTCCTCCTCTAGCCTCTTCATTAAACCTTTAAAAATAAAATAAAATATTCAGCCCAAGAGAGTAGGTATAGTGATACTTTGTGCACTTTAAAATAGAAGACCTGAATAATAGGCATATCTATTGAAAGCAATCTCTATAATAAAAAATTGACCACTGAAATTTTTTTTCCAATTTTTAAAAAGTAATCTCTACACCCAACATGGAGCTCAAACTCACAACCCTAAGATCAAGAGTCACACAATCCTCTGACTAAGCCAGCCAGGAGCCCCGACCATTGAAATCTTTTGATGTTAATTAGAATGATAACAAAGGACAATTTACACAGAAGAACATTAATATAATTTTAGAAAACGTAATATTATGATCTTTCCAAATTGCTACCTAATTCTTTTTTATACTTCACAACATACAAAAATAACATCCGCAGAGCCAGTATCTTTCAGGTCTTTTTTGCCTTTAAGTATTTAAAGCAGTCCACAACACAAATGGCAACATAAATGAAATCTCACCCAGATTCTTTCTTCTATAAGGGCCATTTACCCTTCTTCTTTCACAATACTTCTGGTGCAATTTATATTTCTATTCTAATACTTCATAAATGTTAATACATTATACTTTGTCAGCTTCAAACCAATGAAAACATTACTAAAAGTACAAGTTAAAATGCAAAAAAAAAATAAATTATCTACATTCATAAACACTTTTGGCTTTCCATATTTGGTAGTTTTGATACTGTAAAGTATTAGCTTACAGTAAGTGGTAACTTAAATTATACTTTAAATACTTAATAAGTTTTCTTATTTTGGTAGAGCACACAAATATATACACACAGAGATTTTCAGTGAATAATGGTTTTGTTATAAATTCCCAGGCTAGAGAGCTTTAAAAAGTTTATTTCAGATCTTTCCATTACACATTTACAAATTCTGGCTTGACTCTTTAAAACACTGGATTTCCGGTTTAAGTAATCTACGTAGGTAGATTGCATAATAATTTGGCCCAAAGTCTTAACATTATTTTTAGTTCTGTTGTGCTAACCATATATTAACATGTAAAAATTTATTAATGGCAAAATCACAAGTTTTCCATCCATCCCTACAATTTCCCCCTGTTTTTAGGGACTGGGGAAAGGGAGAGAAGAGAAAGTGTTTAATGAATCAGACTATAATTAGGCAGTCATTCCTACATGGTTTCTGATTAAATCTACATCCTGGCATCTTTGGCTATTAGGTGACTAGTTTTTCCATCTTCAAGTTCTTAAACTACATGTAATCAGAGATGTAAAGAATCAAATCTAAAATGTTTTTAAAGATTTAAAAGTCTTAAATATTATTTTCCTTATTTAAAAGAAAGATTTGGGGCACCTGGGTGACTCAGTCAGTTGAGCATTTGACTCTTGATTTCGGCTCAGGTCATGATCAGGGTGGTGAGATCAAGCCTGTGGTCAGGATCCGCCCTCAGAGGGGAGTCTGCTTCTCTCCTTCTTCTCCCTCCCCCACCCCTCATGCTCTCCAGCGCTCTAATAAATAAATAAATCTTTAAAAAAATAAAAGAGAGATTCAAATTTTAGAAAATACAAATTCATGTACAGTGATAGAAAGCAGATCAGTGGTTGCCTGGGAATAGGTAGAGGGACAGAAAGGGGCAAAAAGGAGCTATTACAAAGGACACAAGAAAATGTTTGGGGGTGATGGGTATTATTTGTTATCTTGATTAAGGTTGATGGTTTCACCAGTCTGTACATTATGTCAAAACTTATCAAGTGTATACCTCAAATATGTGCTGTTTATTATATGTCCATTTTACCTCAATACAACTGTTAAAAAAATGTAAAAACAGGGTTTCTGTCACATTTTAAATTCTTCTCTTAAAAGTTCTAACTTAAGGGCGCCTGGGTGGCTCAGT